ATCTTATGGGGGTTGAAGTTGCTTCACAGATGGGGTGGATGAGGGGGGGAATGAGAGAAACTGAACTGCAGTAAAAGATGCTGAAAGTAGAGAGTGCAACAAGTTGAGATGCGAGAGGCGACTGTTTCTAGAAGAGGTGAACAAGACAAGATCTAAGTCCTTAGAGACCTTTCAGATTAGACAAAATTAATGTATTAGGCCCTTGACTGTCTTGCTAGTTGAATAGATGGCTTAGTAGGGGGATTGACTGAAAAATGAAAAAAAAGCAGGAGGAGGAGGCAAATGATCTTGATAAATGATTTAGAAGTGAAGAATATTTTGCCTGATCCCTATAAAAGAGAAAAATAGAATATGTATTCTCCTTTTTGCTGGAACACGAAATGTGATGATAAGAGCAGAAGACAGCTTGAAGAATGGTGAAAAATTTCCATTTACTGTAGTTTGCATGGAGAAGTAGTGTCAGAAGCAGAGTGTGCCGTGCAGGTTGATTTTTTTTTTTTTTTTTTAACTTGTGGAAGTAAGCATATATGCATGATAACGTGTTGTTTTGGTGTCTAGCCCGAGTGAGGTTGTGTTGGGGCCCAACCAGCGGAGCCCTAGATTGTTTAGGAGGTGGCTGCAGATCTTGTGAGAATTGGTGTCCCCTCCATGGTCAGGTGACAGTGCCCCCTGATGTAGGTGGGATATCCAATCTCTTGAGTTCAAAATTAGTTCAACTTAATATGGGAGGGGTTTGAAGGGTGGCTTTGCTTTGCTGACAGCCATTAATGCCGTGTACACTCTGCAGAGTTCCCCATCCATCCTGTAGCAAGGGCTGAAGCTCCGGAGAGCCATCTTTTCAGATGCTAGTGGACACAAGCCTGCTTAGAGAAGGGAAAGGGTAGCTTGATAAACTGATTGCAATTGAGAAACCATTTTCTTACAAAGGAGGTGGTATTGAAGTTAACTCTGGAGATAAGAAAAATGGGGAAAACTGCAGGATGAATAGAGTTGAAACAAAATTCAGAAACATCTTAGCAGAAATCCAAAAGTAGCAGAACTGATTGAGTCAGTTTTTAAGTGTTTGGGCACCTAATGAGTTACAGAGGGAGCAATATATAGATTCTAATTGTTTTTCGTGTTAACGTGATGACAGTTTTATGACCCAGCAAGTAGGAAAAGTAAGTATGGGTGAATACAGGCCATGTTTTGAGCTACCATTTACTTTCTAGATTTCATACCTTCCTATAAATCAAATACATTGAGGATACTAGCCTGGTCCTCAGCTACATAACTTGAGGCAGCTGGCAATGATTTACTTACAAAGGTATGGGTTAGGTAGAGGGCAAGTGTGGGGAGAGCCAAGAAAGGCAATGGATTTTTCTGCTAGTACAGAAGAATATCAGAAACAAGGGACTGATCAGGTTTCGTTGAAGTCTTATCTGAGGACTAAAGAATCTGCATTTACAGTGAAAAGTGGATGGTGACTTCAGCTGAATATATACATTCCTCAGTTATTCCAGCTGTGTTTGCTGATAGCTCAAGTGGTTAGTACAAAAAGGGACCGAATGTTTTGATAGGAACTTAGTGAATTCACCTTGGAATAGGTCTTTAAAGCACTGAAGGAAAAATGCATGCTATTTAGACATTGCAGCTGTAAATCAGCGATTAGGGAGATTCGATTCAGCAACCTGAAAATGAAAGTCTCAGGGAAAGGCATTTTAGAAAGCTGTCTCCCACAGGAGGAGAATTACAGCGTTAATTCTGCAGTATCCTGGATATATGTTGCCTGATGCTTCCTTTCCCTGAGCTGGCACTTCTCCCTGGGGGGGCTGTATCTCTGCCTGGCAATACATACGCACGGGGCTTTCCTGCGCACCCAACTGCATGCCTGTCTGTTGCACAGGTTAACCCACCCTCCTGACCTGCCTCCCGTGTTCTTGGTTTTCTTCTAGGCTTGGGTCACAGCACTAGAATATTCTCTCATGTGGGGACACCCTGCCCCTCTTCAACTTAAGCACAGCTACGTTAAACATTTTGTACCTTCTCTAGCAGAATTTGAACCTGTACAGATACCTGATGTAGTCTGTATAGATACCTGATGTAGTAACTGCTACTTCAAGAACCAGCGTCTTGCTGCTGCTGAGGAGTATGTCTAGCCCATTGCTGCTTCACAGAAGTTTTGCCTGCTGTAGTGCTTCCCTTGATTGGGTCCAGGGAAATGGTAACAAAGCCTTGCTCTCCTTCTGCAGTACTTCTTGTTACCTTTATTTTTCAAGACTCTTGATGAAGAAATACTAGATAGCTGACTGGGAAGTGCTGAATAGCTTGTACGTAGCTGAAAAGGAGGAAGAGGAACGCTTCAGGGTGAATTGTATGTGTTTAAAGGGTTCTGTATTACTTGACATGTTTATCAAACTGTTTTCTTAAAGCAGTAAAGAGTTGAAGAGGCATGGTGCTGCTACAGGGCTTCTTCGTGAAAGCAAGGAGGATGAATGTGGTGCTGGTCTTTGTGAAGGGTGCTCCTAACAACTTCAGTCTAGTAAGCTTCACCCTTTGTAAAATATGAAGTCAGATGTTGAGAGGAGAGTCTGTTTCTCTATTGTCTATGATTTTTGGATGCCTGTTCTCTGTCTTTTTAAATAAATCATGTCACTAAGAGCTGGTATAGATTAAAATTCACATTTCAGCGTTAATGAAGTATTTGCTATTATTCATATTGTGTTGATGCTTAAGACTGCCCAGTGAAGACTATGCCAAGAACTTTAATGTTAAATAGGGGCCAAATGCTTGTGGAAAGGGAGGGGAAACAGACTTCACCTTAGTCAGCGTTCAGCTGACATATAAGAGCAGTGGTTATTACATATGGGGGAAACACAATGCTTCAGTCATCTGAAATTCCTATGGGATTGAATGCACAGGCTTTTACCACAGCTACAGGCAGAGGGAAGTAATAACTGTAATTTTTTGGAAGCTGTCTTGTGGGTGTCACCGGAATACTTTTTGAACATGAAAATTCATAGCAAGTAGTGCTTCAGTTCCTGGGCAGCAGTGAAGTTCAAATAAAGTAAAATTTCTTGCAGTGATCAAAAGGATCAAGAGAGAAGCAGTAGCTTTAGTAGCAGTAGGGAAATATCCAGGATTTGACTTTCCAGTGTATACTTAAAGAGAGGGTCCTGCGTTGGAAAGAGGTAGGCAGAGCTCTATCCTGGGATAATTTTTAGGATGTTGTTTATACCAAATAGTATATAGTGATCCTACCACTGTGAGTAGGATTTTTGGCCCTTACTTTTTAGGTGGGGGGAAGAAATCTCTGTGCATTAAATCTATTGTTAAATTTTGTTTGCTGCTGAAAATCTGTATCTTTCAACTCTTGCAAGTGACATCTCTTGATGAAAAAATGAAAAGCAGTTGTCTTGGAAGTTAGACCACTTCACTGCTTTCTCCTTACTGTGGCTTTGCTCTTCCCTGTGGAATAAAGAGGTAGATACTCTCCCTGCTTTCCATCTTCCCAAATTTGTAAACCAGATCAAAATTTGCAGTCTACCCAGTTATTTTGTTGTTGTTCCTGTAGGAGATTATGTGGATTGTGGGAGGAGCAGGGAATTATTTCTGTGTTTGAAACCCTGTCAGGAAAAAAGCACTCTCTTTACACTTCCAACTCAGCTTTTTTTCTTTTTTTTTTTTTCATACACCTCTCTTGCCCTGGCTTTCAGTTCTGTAGTGGTTGCTGATTTGGGCTTTACAGTATGTTTTGTTGGAAGTGTCAACAGTAGTTTCCCTGGACACTGAAACATTGAGCTTGAACGCTGCAGAGGAAGTTTAGCAGCATCAGTCCCTAACCTCTGTCTTGACCTGTTCTTAGCCAGTGTTTGAGTTAGGACTCTCTTGGACTGCTCTCGTGGCTGCCAGGTTTAAAGTCGCCTGTGGGCTACAGCACACCAGCTTGAATTAGATGCACGCAGCGGTGGTGCACTGCAGCCTGGCAAATCGGCTCTGTGTGAAAGCAAGGAAAGCCCAGCACACCCGTCACAGATGGCTGAAGCACAAATCCGACCTTGTGTAGAAATGTCCTGTAATAGGTGTCCTCTGAGTGTGCCTGTGTTTGTAGGTTGGGGACAAATGTCCTTTCTTGCAGAGGACGGCAAATCAAATCGTGTCTGCTCAGCTGTACTGGCTGAGCAGCCAAATCAGGTCCGGTTATTTGGTGTGGGAGAGGAGCTGCCCTTCCTGCAGGATGGGCCTTCGGCTGAGTGTGAAGTGCTTCGCTGCGCCCCAGCTC